AGCTCACCACCCGTAGAACACTTCAGACCCTATTCCCAAATTTGAAGGGGCTTGTTCACCTCCAAGCCTTTCCCTGCCTTAAATCCTTCACCTACTGAGAGCTTGAGCCAACCACCTCTCGTTGTTTTTGATTTGAAGTGCATCCTTTTTGACCCTGAGAAAACCTTTGACCATAAGAGAAATTTACTGTGCTTCTCTTTAAATCTTGACTCATGATGTCAACTGATATGCTTCTCCGAAACTGAGAATTCAATGCATTATTAGCTCATCTTGAATGTGAATTTTGAGGCCACTCACGTTGCTGATCATTATTCTTGTGGATCTCATTTTAGCTTATCAAAAGGTTGAAGTAATCTGTGTACTCTGATATAATTCTTGTACAAATTTCTCCTTCAAATATACAAATTTCTTGTATATCTTCTTCCAAGTAGTAATTTTATCTTATCCTTTTTTAATCCAACCTGCTTCCAATTGCTGCCACCACATTAGGGGATGACATCTGATAATTCTTTCTGCTCTAAAAGAGTTTCACTACTAGCAATCCAATCCCAAAATTCATTAGGCTGTAATTTTCCAGAAAATTCTGGCACGTTATCCCTCTATTTGTACCTTCCAGAGCTCTAACCAAACGATCTATAAAAGCATCAGATTCATCTCTACCCGGCTTGTGGAATGAGTTAGTCTCCAACTTGGGCTCAGATTTCTCACTTTATGGCGACTGAACCTTGATAGGATCGATTTTGATGCACCTTGTGCATTGGTTCCTCGAGTCTCCTTAATTGGCTTTGGTCAACTTGTGTACCAGTTCCCCAAGTCTCCTTATTAGTTTGCTGATTTCTTGCTGCGTGGTGTATCCATCACCTCCACCATGACCACTTAGACCTCTAGCAGCCATTGTGCAACTTGCCGAAGGTCTATGACGCTTTGGGAAATGAGCTTACTCTGGTACCAGATGATGCAAATTCGAATGACAATAAGAAATCAAAGAAACGATATATTGACTGAAAATTAATGGAAGTTATCAAGCCTTAGGTTCAATGGCTCTGCGAGTTCAACATAATTCTAAAGAACAATGTTTTGGAATAACAATAATAAACTTTGAATGAAAAACCCTATGACAGCTCCTATTTGTAGGCTTTATTTGGACTCCCTAATTCTAATCCTAATGTAATTAGGGGTTCTAATTAAAATTGCATCCAAATTTGTTGCCTTTGCCCTTGATGTCTGATGTCAAAAAACGCTATTATGACCACATTTCAGAAATGGGAACATAAACCCTATAAGCTGAAAACAACTTGAGCAACAAAGGCCCAAAAATGCCTCTAAAGCCCTAAACATCGATGAGATTTTCTGCATGAACTCGGCCAGCATCAGGCAAAAAGAGCCCTTCGACAAGGAGACCCTTTTCCTGTTCCTTTTGACTATCCATAACAAATGGGTTTGATCATATTCTCCTTCAAGGCTTCAAATCTTCTAGGTGTGTACGCGATGACATGTTCAGTATGCAGATTTTGTATTTCTCCAACCACACTCAGTTCAATAACTTAATACAAAGTTTTAACACATTCAAAAAAAAAAAAATAGCCTTTTAAAACTTTGTATTAAGTTAAAGCGCTGCACAATATGCCAAAATACTGTCCACGAGGGAGAGAAGAAGGCCTCAGGCTAGGTCAAAAAATGCTATACAACCCATAAAACATCAACAACTTATGGCTATTCTCAAGGCTTTCCGAACTCTCTAGAGGCTTCAAGGTAAACATAATTAGGTCAAGCTGTTTGGTGTTGGGCCTCTCAGGTAGATGCTTCAATGCTTGTTGGGCCTCTCTCAGGTAGATGCTTTAATACTCGCTAACACGCTTGGCTGCAGCACCAACGTCCTAACAAGTAATTCCTTGGGCCTCCTGCTTTGCATTGGGAAATCACGCAAAGCTCCATGGTTTCCCATTGTGGAGCATTTTGGATGGGAACTGACAGCCTGGAAATGCATCTCTCTAGGGGTTATAATCATCCTCATCAAGACTACCCTATCCAATATCCTTATCTTCCAATTGGCTCTATTCCATATGCCCATCTCAATAGTCAACTACATTGGAAAACTGATTAGAGCCTTCCTTTGGTCAGGGTCTGGCAACGAGTTTACTTAGTCAAATGGGAGACATTGTGCCTTCCCAAGAAGAACGGAATCTTTGAATCTGTACTTACTGCCCTCTTGGCCTCTTGGGCAGATGTAGTTGGAGATTTGTCAATGGACAAGGGAATTTGTGGCAGCAGGTTTTGTTGCATAAATACGACTTGGACAGTTCGGGGGATTGTGAGAGTTCTAGCCAGGCCAAATGCCTCAGGGGTCCTAGAAAGCCATTGTCTCAGCCAATCCCGATTTTGTGGGATATGTTCATTCCAGAGACACATGGGGAGACAAATAGCTGTTGGAAAGAACCTTTGGGTGGGTAGTCTATCTTAGACTCTCACTTCCCCAGGCTTTTCTCCACGACCAGCAGTGAAGACGATCTGTTATCTCAATCATGTGAGGCTAGTGGTTGCTGTACTATTTGGACCTCAAGATTCAGGGGCAACCTCTCAGACAAGGAGATAGTACAATTCATGGAATTCCTGGATATTCTTCGAGGGCAGTATATCTTGTGGGCAGGAAACCATCAAATGGATTGGATTGCAAATGCATCGAGGTCCTTCTCAGTGGCCTCCTCCTATAGGGCCTGGTCCAGGCCAGCTTCCCTGAAAGTTCGGGCTTTTATGTGGTTAGTTATCTTCAAGAAGGCTCTTACTCGACCAACTTCAATTGAGCCTATTGCAGCTCCTAGTCGATGCACAATGTGCTTGCAGGCTGAAGAGACCACAGAGCACCTAATTCTATGCTGCAACATAGCCTCCAAAATGTGACATGCCTCTCTTCAGCGCTGTAGCTGGACCTGGGTGTGGCTATACTCCGTTGAACAACTTTTCCTAGCATACTACTCCCTTCCCTTCCCAGCTTCTGGTCTCGTTCTGTGGAGATCCACCCATCTGGCCATCCTGTGGTCGTTTGGCTAGAGAGAAACTCTAGGATTTCTTGAGGGAAAACTCAAGAGCTTGGAATTTTTAAAGGATCATTTCCATTCCTTAAACCTCAAGGAATTTTGGATTTGGTCAGTGGAGGATTTTGTTAAACTGGAAACACATTCTTTCCTCGAACCCATGGCCATTTTGAGGTTGAACACTTGGACTCCACCCCCATAGGGCAACATCACGTTCATCTTTGAAGGCAACCCAAGCCGACCTAGAATGAGTGGGTTGTTTGGAAACCACTTTGGTAGAGTACATTACTCTCCTCAGGGCCAAATGGAGTTGTTAATTCAGTGATGGCTGAAGCCGTGACACTACTGGAAGGCTTGAAACTAAAGCTTGAAACTATACAATGCGGCATGGGATCCCAACCTCTTGGTAGAAGCCTAGAAGGTCAATTTCAAAATGTCATTTCTTGGGCCTCAATGAGTGCTAATTGGCCATGGAACCTAGGCCCCATTTTCGACCAGGTTTTGATGTAATCGCCCCCCCTTCTTTTAGCCCCCTTCACACACTCTTGGAGGGAGGCGAATTCTGAGGCTGACTTCTGGTAAAAGCAGGAGCCATGAGCCATAATTATGTCGTTCTATGCACCATCTGGCATCATCCCACACTGTGAACCCCTCTGCGTCTCTCCCTTTCCCATCCCTATTGCTCAGATATTTTATTTGTACAGGCTGAAAAGAATGGAAATACACACTCAGTTGTGCAGGAACATTTTGATGTGGTGCCTTGCCCTCAAACTATTTATATTCTTAACATCTATTTAATACAATAACTTTTCTCAAAACCTTAAGCTGTGGGCGTGTTTAGCCATGCATATAAGTCCTGACAAGATGGACTTTAAAACAGGCGTGAAACAGGCTTTTGACAAGTTTGCAGACATCCCCAGTTTCATGCTTAAAATCTATTGGGGTGCTACATATGTTATACTGTCTGCAAATATACGATGAGGTTATGTGAGTATAAGTTTGTTTGTCAATGTCCTTCATGCATGGCCAAGGATGCCCTGAAGTTCTATTTCTCACATGGTCTTTTTCCTGGTGAATTGGAAGTTGAGACAATGAATTTGGAAAATCTATGGGGCTTGGGGTCCTGTAGTCCAGTTGACAATTGGTCTCGTACTGAATTGTGTCAAAGGACTGTGGCCTGCAGCTTGGCACTGTAGTTCAGTTTGAGGCCTTCCAATTTCATTTACTTCTTTTTGTTGAAGTACTTTTCACTCTTTTTTGGGTGTGTGGTTGGCCTGCAATATCAAAATGGATCATAAAAATACCGCCTTCACTGTCTGTAGGCATTAGGTTGGACTTAGTTCCAAGCCAGCGGCATTTTTGTGCTTTGCCTTTGCTGGCAAACAGGACGTTAAGTAAACAGTAATCGCTTTTGGGAATCATGGACTGCAATTCAAGTTTTTCAAACTATGTTCACAGGGATATACCTGTTTCATCTACAGGTGGTTCATTTGAACTTGCTTTGAAGAGCTGAACCTGTTTAGAGTAGAGAAACTTATCTCTAAATAAGTAGAGGTGGTTGAGGCTTCAGATTGGGTGTTGCCTTTCCATTCAGGGAATTCGGTCTAGGTAGTAAAAAAGTTAAAATGGGCAATCAGTGTAGTTTTAATAACTTCTCATGATAGTAGAAGTAAAAAAGTTAAAATGGGCAATCAGTGTAGTTTTAATAACTTCTCATGATAGTAGAAGCAATTTTGGGTAATTTTCTGAGAGCATGTATGCTTCTGTCTTGATATCTACTGTGTACCTGATATTATCTGGTGTATGCCAAAATGCAAACAAATCATCACATGCATCGTGAGTATCACATTATGAAGAGTGCATTGTAGACACAAATATTTGCATCTTCTTTATTGCAATTCTACCTGTTCCTTGTGACCAATTGGGAATAGAACCCTCAATCTGGCACTGAGTTGGGTCCTTTGCAAGGTTATGCAGATTTGATGCGGTTTCAAACAAATGGCTAAAGGAATCAACCTTACCAAAGAAGGTCCCTTCAAATTTGAGTTGTGGATTTGCAGCGCTGAACGGACAGCTGCATGTAATGATGCCTTCGACAAGTCATCATCAAAAGAGCTACACTATGAAGTTGATAATTCAGGTTTACAACCCAAGGAAGAGGAGTTGGAGATTCTTGCACACTAAGCCGCCTTTCCAGAATCCCTTGGACTTCAAATGTGCTGCCATGTGTACTATCCACCTTTAAAGGAGAAAAGACAGTTGTGTATATATTCTCATCCTGCTTATGTGCAGTCTGAAGTTGATATGTATTAAGGAGATCTTGTTGTATTGCTCTCCCTCTCTCTCTCTCTCTCTCTCTCTATTTTCTTACAGTTCAGAAATGTACGTGCATTTGTATGATCATGTAGAGCATTGACAGTTGAAAGATAGATGTACAGTGAAAGCATTGACTGGACAGCAAATTTTAATGGGGAAGTTGTTCATGATTTGTATATGCATGCAAATTTATTGATTTTAATTCTTCAACGAGGAAATTGTGCTTGTAACGCGTAGGGATGATTCTGCCATTTGTCTTTTTTGTCCTTTGCTCTTTCGGTTGGATGGAGGTCTCTCGACAAGAATAACCACGTCCCATTTTGAAGTCATCTTGTTGAAAATGTTTATAATGAGGCTATTTACTTTTAGCACAAGGTTACAATTATCATTGACTGTTAGATTTGAAATTCAGTGGTTGAGAATGTGTTATTGTTTTGTTATAAATTTTATAACAAAATTTTTCGAATACTATGACATTTTGAGTTATTGCATTTTAAAGTGATTGTAACCTTATACTAAAAATAAATAGCCTCGTAACATACAATCCTTTCTATTTATTTCCTTGTCAAATTACAATATTGCAGAGTAGGTACCAATAAAAACTACAGTAACCCCCATGTAAAAGTAATTATACAAAATACAAAAGAATAAGATCTCACCACATTTTATACAAATAAACATTCTTAAACTTGACAACTTCTAGAATATTGAATCCACTATTTTTATTAACTTTAAACAAATAAAATCATCAATAATAGAGAAAAACAAAGCTATAAATCATGTCAACAGAAAAATTTCCTTTTTTTATAAAATAAAATTTTACGTCATTTTTCTAGTACAAGCTTCAAATATTGGAACCATTAGGGCCCCTCACTCGAACCGATATTTCCGTATGTACATTTATAGGTCTTTTGGATCCGTGTAGCTGCATTCACGTCTCCTGGCTCCTTATCGGTTACAAGGTTACACTTCATGTAGTCACAATTCATCAGGTTAGGTTTTCAGGCCATCTTCAATTTAACTTATGAGCCTTGCTAAGGTAGCGCCCTGTTATCCCAAGCAAGGTGATGAGACACTTTGGTAATCAGTTGCACACGTTCTCTGGTTTTCCCGTCCCGATAAGGTCTATGAGCTTGACATCTACTTGGGGTCCTTACAATGTCATCTTGAGATAAGAGAGGGAGACACCAATGCCGCATGCTGATGGAGATGAGCCAAAGATGGCATCAAAGTAAATTTAGTGATATATTAAGGAAGTGGATCTGTCGACCTTAAATAATTGAGATAAGGTTTGGATGATGATAATGAAGAATAAGGAGATAAATCCAATGGCTTACCTTTCCCCTAGGATGATGGAGTTAGCCGGTCATATTTGGGGTCCTAAGGCATAGCTTATACGCATTCGGATCTCTCAAGATTCTATCATAGGCTCTGTTATGCTTTTATGTCTTGGTACAAGAAAGTCACAACTTTTCTTAGCCATTGGATGTGAAATTTAACAAATGAAAATGTCTTACAACTTTCGAGAAAATTTATTTTGAACTTTGTAATCAATTAGTGATGTGACTGATGCACTCAATTAGTGACACTTCACGACCCATCTAATTTCACATTCAATAGATTGACAACGATTGTGACTTTCTTGTATTAAAAATAAATGGTCTCAATCGTATATATTTCTTTCACATAAACAAATATAAGTTTTAAATTTTGTTAATGAGAATAAAAAAGATAAAGAGAGTCCAGAGTAAAAAAGACAATAATTAGTTTCCACGAAGGAAATGTATTCTATGCTAACGCGCCATCAACAAGGGACGATCAGGAGTAGAAGCTTTTGACCGAGTTTAGAGGAGGAATGGAAAATTGAGATCTTCCATGGTAAAGAGTGATAGCTTTTTAAAAGATGAGTGATACGAGTTACTTTTCTTGAGAGATAGGATATTTAAGGTTTAATATTTCAAAAGGGGCTATTCCCATCCCCACGTGAGGGGGGCTATGTTCATCTCGCGGAGGACCAGGTTTACAAAATAATAAAAAACATTGATATATTAAAAAATATAAAATATATTAGAAAGAGGTTTCACAGAATGGTCACCGACGAAAATCAGTAACATAAATTTTGACTGTTTTTTGACCAAACCAAATTTTACCTTTAGACACCTATCGACAGCAATCGGCCGGACTGGGTGAAACCGTACGGTGTTGATAACTATGATCAAAACTAAACCTGCATTACAAGGTGAAAAAATCAAATTACAACCGTGCACAAGAATTAAAGATGATAACCATTGTGTAACTGTACCGATTGATATAATGAAAATAACGAGAACGTTGGATATTACTTCAGAATGTTAAAGAAAATTTATGAAATCTCGCCTAGAGTTGCAATTTTTACCATTTCATCCATTTGTTTTTCCTTTTTCATAAGGTTCCGTAATAGTGCAAATCATGGGGCTAATAAATTGATGGACCCGGTTTCTATGCCAAGTCCACATAATACAGGGGTCTTAATAAATCTATTTTGGGAGCGGCCCACCTTGAAATAATGTTGAGAAATTTGTTTTCAATGCTGAAAAGTTTTGTGATAGCCTTAAATTATATTTTCACATTTAGTTATAAAAATTTAAAGTTTAAAAAACAATATGGATCGAGCAGATCTATAAAAACTTGAAAATCTTGAAAATTGACGGTCCAAAAATGCGTTACAAGATGCACTATTTCCAAAACTTAAAATCTATTTTTTTTCTCATGTCCATGCATCTTAATGGCAAGATGATCAATTTGATGATATTTACGCATCAAAACAACCTATTCTAGTGAAAATTTTGAGGTAGGCTCTAATTTAATTGTTTAGAGCCTAGGCTCTCTATAAACTTTTCCCATCTACTTTTGAGATGGATTTTAACGCTCTAATTTTAAGGACACGTACTCTCTAATATGTAGATCATGAATATGAAGAAATACATAAATTTTAAAAAATAAAAATAATAATTCTAGTAAGAAAACATTTGGAACCTTAGTTTTCATTGTTTTTAGATAGAACACCTACTTGCATCCATCTTTATGATGTCCAAATGTTCTCTTATTAGAGATTATATATCCTTAAAATTTGTTTAAAAATCCATCTCAAAAATAGATTTTTAAGAGGAGACTCATTTCTACATGGACTCATATAAACCGTATCTGACAGTAAATACTGCATCTCTAGGGTTGTAGTGAAAGTTTTTTCAAATTTTAAAAAAGACACTAGACATGATAGTCTTTTGAAAAGTTTGAGGTATGATGGATGAATTTGTTGTAGTTTTATGAATTCCATGATCATTCCACAGTTGCATACGGCGAATGGTACTGGTACGAGGTACAAATGTTGGTAGTGGTAGGCCATGGTGATTATAAAGACTGAACTCCCTTACCCCTCCCATGCTCTAAAAAGGTTCACAATCACTACAAGTGTAAATAACATCTCTGTCCAGTGGGCTCATGGATTTGCATGTTTTTTTGTCAACTTATTCTCTCTTTACTTGTTGCATTCTTCCTTATCCTCTTCCATGTATTATGAATTCATAAATAAGTCTCTTTCTCTCTCCCTCTCTAACAGTGCAAGACCAGTAAAGGGCATACCGATGTCTTCTTTTTTGCTATTTTTTTTTTTACCTTTGATATATTAATGGTGGGAATAGAGGGTGGGATGTTATGTTGAGACAGCTGTCAGCTCTTTTGATAGCGTTTATTACTTTGTATTCTTTTTTTATGATAGTGACAAATAACGATGAAGATTGAAGACTATAACCCGATTGACCTAGATGAGATAATTATTGTAGATGCAGGCGAGTAGTGGGTGGTGGAAGAAGATGATCCAATATTATATTAAAGAGTATGCAATTGATGAGGAATGTAAAGAAGAAGATGCTGACGGGTGAGAAATAGGAGGTTCCCTGCCAACATATCTACAATTCATTTGACATGTAGGCTGTGTCGCACTTGTTGAAAGAAAGTGGGAAGGGGCTATGGGAGGCAATGAGAGAAAATATGATTCTAATTCTACCCTTTCCTAACCATGATATACATTGCCCGAGATCAATAGCCAAGGGTGGTGGGAGTAAACAAGAAGATGGGGGCTAGCGCGAGGGGTGAACATGCCGTTCACCAACTGCAGGCTCAACATTGTCGGTTGTGGTTGACGATTTTAAGGTGTACATGTATCGAATCAATGAATTGTTGAGACCAATGGTTTAAAAAATGGATCGGTGACTCGGATCGAGCTTCTAAAAAACCGATTTGGATCGGCGAATCGGCGATCCTGATCGGGAATCGGGTGAATCGGTCAGAATAAAGCTTAAAAAAAATCTTTAAAATTTATTAAAATTCATTATAAATATTGTTTTTTAGGAATTCAATAAAAAATGAGGGTACTCCATTAAGTATTTTCATGTTTTTGAATGAATATGCGAATATTGATATGTTCTTTCCCTGCATGAACCGCCATTTAGCATTAATTTACATCACACAAAAGGATAAACATATAATTATCATGGAATAAGTATATCAACATACATGGACTGCAATAAAGCATAAAATTAGTAACATATGACCTAAAAATAAAATGATAGACGACGTTATTGTTCTTCTTGGTCACGCTGGTGCCATTGATTGAATTCGTTTAACAATTCATTGATTCGATCTAAAAACGAATTATCGATATTAGCAGGCGTCTGACTATTCTCAAATCCCTGAGTGTTAGTGTTTTGTTGTGTTCCCAATCTAAAATCCTCGAAGATTGTCCATCCTTCATGCTCACCTGCACTGTTTT